TGTGTTTACGTGGTGAGACCGTATCTCCAAAACCATGAGCGGGTCCGTAATGATTTAGAAAGAAGATGTGCATTATCTGTGTCTTGTATTTTGTACTTTGTCAATTTGACACAGTGGTAAGTAGCCGGGGTTTTTGTAAAAAAAAAAAAAAGGCTTGTTAAAAAGCAAAGACACAGCTGGATCCTTTGAAGTTTGGCTAAATTGAGCCATGAAGAACCTCGACTGAGTCAAGATCTCACAGTGCAGATAGCATGTGTGGAAAACATCACCCCCATTGTCACAGGGGGACACCAGCAGAAAGGCAGGTTGTTGGTCTGAAGAAAAGGGCTTTCTTCATCCTCCAGACACATTTGAGAGGCAATGCTATTAAAGTTGCAGCTGCTGTGACTGCAGAAAGAAGAACCCCAAGACATTCAATTAGGGGAGAAAGACTACATGAGCATTGGGGATTGAAAGCCAGCCGCTTCAATTGTGCAGTTTTACCAAGCGGATGTTGTATGAGGTAAAACTGTCACCTCATACAACCCAATGTTGTTAAACGCCTCAGCCCACGACCCCATCGATTGTTAAAAAATACTTTGGGCAGCTATAGCACACATTAGAGGCCCCGGGAAGAAGAACATTCTGGAAATAACAAAAGTGCTTTTGGAATTGTAAAATTATTTTTGAGTATAAAAACAAAAACGATTGAAAAGGTAGAGAGAAAGTGACACAGAATAATAATGCTCAATTTTGGGCATTTGATGGACTAAAACCACCTTGCGGTTTACTGCACGGATCACTAGCACATTGTCTGGAAAAATATGTACTGTAGATGCACACTCAGTCGCCCCAAAGTCCTGCAAAATGTGTTTTTGATTTTTTTCTGGTTGACGGCTTATTCCATGTGTACAGTATGTAACATTACATTAAATACTTATTAGATACAATCAAGATTTTGTGAATGCAGTGAATGCTACTGAGGATGTTCAAGTCAGGCAACTTAAAGTTCAGTAAAGAGGTTTCAACTCATTAGATCTGCTGTAGTTCTTCT